ATTGTTTTACCTAAGAATATATGTCTCCGTTCCTCAGGGTGCCGATCAGAAATAGCGCTATTCGGCTGGTCATTGAGATTGACGTTACTACTTCCACATCGTCACCTCAAAACTCCTTATACATACGATTTATTCAAATCGTTCAGGATAAGCCATTTTGAGATTTACATGTAAATCTAGCAATGTAAAAGGTATTACTCATCGAGCGAGCATTGGCACTGACGTTTTACATTCAAACGTACCTGCATCTTGTCGTCAAGTAGAGATATGTTCTGATGAACGCGTTATTGGAAACATATTTTACAAAATCAAATTTTCTCATATTCGGATAGTACCTTGTGAGAAAAGCCGATTTGATTGTTCATCGGGGTGTTTTGTATACAAAAAGTCCCGCTAGTTCATTCCCTATATTTTTTTCTGATTCAGCCATTTTTTATTTAGCTTATGGATTTTTCGGAATAACATACGAAAAAACAAAATATAAACGATTATACATATTAAAAATGTGTATATGAGACGATACGAATTTTGTGCTAAATTTAGTACGCTAAATTTCGTACAAAATCCAGGATAGTGTCAATCACCATTTAATACATAATTTAACCTGTTCTAAATAATATCATGCCTAAAGTGAGCAGACGCCTACTGCGCATTTGGAGCAGTACAGTGGCTGATAGAAGCGCTACGTGACAAGGAATCACATGTTTTGTGTTTCTCCTTGATAGTCTCTTGACGTTTTGTGATGATTAGATGAGATGATATTTGGTTCACAAAAACAAGCTTAACCTAAAACACTTTCCTCAGTTGTGATCAGTTGTATTCATCAGTTTCACGAACTCCTTGGCTTATGCTGTATGATGTTATACTTGTAGATTGAAAAAGATGTCATGGTCAAAACAGCAGAGTGACCTACTACTAAACGAGTATGAGAAATATGATTGTTTGTATGCTGTAATAATGCAAGGCCTATAAAAACAGAAACGCCAAATAAGCTGCGCTGAATAAAATCAGAATTATTCTAGAACCAATTAGGGCTATAAGCCAGTGGATCCTCCACTAGAGGTGCTTTATTCAGCATCTGGAGCACACCCATTCCCGGTTCCTCTCCCTGATTCATTTTCGGCATTAAATTCTTTTACGGGTTGGTTTACATCGTTTTTTCACGAGGTGGCCAGCTAAAACGCAGATCGCTGGTCTCGCATTTTCTACAATTTTCTATTTGTTTAAAGTAATAAAGTAGCAAGCCGCAACGAAAGGTGTGGTTAGTATGACTTTGACGTGATAAATAGTAGTTCGAAGTTGACAGTTATAGTTTTTTTCTACCGACTGCACATGAGTTCGTACGAAATTTATTACAAAAATTTCTTTAAGTGACAAACAGGATTGTAATTTGAAAACAAATTGGGAACTATGTTAAATTCAGTTACTTATTTCTCACAAACTTTGGTATCAAATTATGAACACACATCGCAATAACAAACTAAACATCACTATCCAAGTTGTAAACAAGGTTCGGGCGGTCTGCTACGATATCACTGATTGTTTTTTTATACCGAAGCAGCCGCGCAGGTAGAAGCCTAAAAGCCGGGACACCGCGGCTGCTATAATGTTTTGGTGATTAAGGGTCGGAGGGTTTATATGTCCATTGCCTAGTTTTATGAGATATAATTTAGAAGGGAAACTCTGCAAGAAAAACGGGATGTCTTCAGAGCTTTGTAATATCAACAAAGAGCTAAACAATTACATTGTGTAATGAAAGCCGATTTCGGTCAAACAATTCGGAAAAATGATCGTTTCTTTAAGATAGAAAATACCTTAATTTAATGCAACTAACACAACATCGGCACTTGTATTTTCGTTGTCGAAGCGAAAAGAAATTAACTCCAGACTTCATTTACCTCAGTGTTGTGCTAGAGGTAGAATCTGTAGTACTTGATAATGAATAATTTTTTTAAAAAGAGTGAATTCAGGGTTTGAATCACATGGTCCTCTCATAATGCCTATTTGTCGATTGATCAATCCGACTAAACAAATCAGAAGAAATGTGATAATAACAGATCAAACATACAATACGGTATGCTTATGTAAAAATTGTAATCTTACAGTTGGGATTTGCAAATACAATACAAAAGTAACAATGTATATGTCATAGATTCATCGCTATTTGATCATTGCCATCCAGGAACCAGAATGGATTCGATAGGGTCAGCCAAACCAGCACTACTTCGGTAGGGTTATTACATAAAAAACTATTGTATAATGTCAAAAGAACCGATACAATGTCAACTTGTTGACTAAGTAGGCTAGTGTACAAATAGTGCTACAAGTGAGCATTACGTGAACGATAGCTAGTTCCAAGTTACTAGCCTATATTTATATTATTTTTCATACCCTACTAAGCGGGGCCGGGGCAAATGCTTGTTCCAGAAGTTGTTGTATTCAGTATACAACTTCCTCTCGTTCAAGTGGTTGTACACGCGTTAAGAAATACCTCAGAATCGTTTACCAGGTGGGTACAAGTCCACTAGCGGGCCATTTTAGTTCTATTTAACATCATTCAGACGGTAAACTAGGACCAGTCGACCGAGGCGTACCATCCAGTAGCTTTTTCCATGGTGTCTTGTAAATGTCCGCATGTTTTCACCCTAAGCTACGCAGTCGCTTATCTTCCCCAATAAGAAGAAATTAATGATGACTGATCTCTCAAGTACTAAGAATTCCGGACGTAGACTCACTGCACTCTCGGAATGTCCGGGTTGAAGGTGGACTCGAAGGAACAACAACAATGATAAAATTTTTTTTACTAACATCTGCGGGATCAACAGCAACATTGATCTGCAATCCAATCGTCCTCGCCATTCTTTCTTAGCGGAGACAAAAATCTCAGTCTGCACCGATCTTAGCTTCCCAAATTACTTGAATACCTCGCGTTCGAATTCCTGAACATCAATCACCACGCTTAGTTCGACTCGATGATTTCAATGCCCTTAATGAGCTTGGTTGGGCTCAAGCAACACCGATGCGGCAGGTCGTGCACTTGAAGCGTTCGCTATTATCCAAGGGTTGACCAAGCTGGTGACAAGCCCTACTTTTTTCAGCCGCGTTTCGTCACATGCCAGTAGCTGTTGGATTCTCATTCTGACCACACATCCTGTCCCGTACAGCCCTGCTGTCCAGTTCTCTTGGGGTAACTCAGAGCATGATGTTGTGGAGGTTAGATTTCGGTCAGAACCCGCTGTGACAGGCAGAAATGCATCTCTTCATACAGTGAAAGTGCCTAAACTACTGTCAACGGCTGCTCGCCAGTAGAAGATCAAGGCACAACAGAGAACTTCTTACAGAACATCACTGTAGGAACAGACAAGCCCACGTCGAGCCCGGAAACAAATATAGCGAATCGGTTCACATTGCCAAAGACCAGCACGAAGTTAAGCACAGGGTAATGTCGCAGCGCAATCTCAGTAGGTCTTTCGGAACGCTGGACAATCAGATTGAAAGGAACTTACCCAGACAGTAGCGGTCCACCACTTACGTGTTACGATGGAATGATTGTAACCGACTCAAAGGCTAAGGCGGAAGTGCTTGCCAAGATCTTTGCTGTCAGCTTTACCATGGACCTCCTCAACCGCCCAAGTACCATCTGCTTCTGGTCCGGACTTGATTCTACCGTTGAATCGAGGTGCGCAACGGAGCTTGCTCCAGTTCCTTCGCGTCCGTCCAGATATGTTACAAATCCGGCACCTTTCCAGGAAAACTGGAAATTTGCTCCTGACCAACCTTCCCAGAAAGGGATTTTAAGCCCGACCCGTACACCTACAGGCCTATAGGTCTGCTTCTGTTGTAAGTAAGGTGATGGAGACGTGCCTGAATCACGAGCTTCTGGACTACCTCGAACGTCACGGCTTGATTAGCGACAGGGCAGTATGGTTTTCGGCACCAGCGATCCACAGGGAGATGTGGATCTACAAGAGGAAAGCTTTTCCCAGTTCTACTAGCCTCAGCCAGTTTAAAAATCGGATCAACAAAAATTACTTTGGTATATATAAAAAAAAGTTGACGTCTTGTAGGAAAACCTATGTCAAAAAAACGACATAATGTTACGTAATACCAACGTCGGACTAGTCTAGGAAACTCAAAGCAGAAGAAATTGTTAAAGCGACATAAGGAATTGCAATATGATAGTTTCGATTTTCGTCGATTCGTCAATAGATACAAACTGGAAAATTACATAAGCAACGCTTTGCTATGCCTAATATTTTATAGCATATAAATGTTCCTTCCTTCATTGGAGGGGAAAATAATTTTAATTCACCCAATTCGTAAACTATGTTTTAGAGTGAGCATAAACTGAAACCTTTCCACGGCGCGAGAGTTTGTTTCGTCGGCTTTCCACCTGAAGAAGAAAAGCATATGACCGAGGTGCTGCTGCTGTGTAATGGAGGTGAAGTCACTAGTATAGATGATATCTCGTGCACACATGTGGTAAGTGCTTTACTTCATTATTTTTCTTGTACTGGATATTAACTGGGGTAAAATAGGATCTCATGATGTAGATACAAGTATATTCAGTATTTAGATCATGTGATCAATGTGTTTGTATCTACATTGATCTCTTCCATTCATTCAGCATCTAAACATGGGGGACATATTAGTTATAAGTTTTAACCCAAAATAATTTTCATAACTGTATCTTCAAATACTGGAATCCAAAGTTTGTTTTATCATCATATGTTTAAATATTAACGTTTGTGTTTGTCCACTTTTCACATAAGCGGTTGTGTTTTAATTGTGAATTACGTTCAATATGAAAATAATTTAGTTAAAACCATGTATGAATTTCTGCTGCAAGATAATAGTCTGCTTTTAGGTGATTGTTGGTACCATAGATATATTTGTTGAGTAATACATGTCGTTTTTTAACTATCCTGTTATCAATATATCAAACGATACATTTGATACAGGGCGTTCTCTAAACATTTTAAATGCCTTGTCACTGAGTGGTCAACGGTAATCGGAATGTTATCTCAAAATATGTCTTAATGCACTGATGAGCTGCTAATGAGTTCGAAACAATGCTGTCTGCTCTTAGTCATGGTTACAGAACCGGAAAGCAAACATGTCCTTTTCGATTAACAAAATAGTCCACATGTTTAATCATTACCTTAAGGTTTAGCTTGCATCGGGAATTCCGATTCGGAGTAGCTCAGGAATTAAAAAAAAACGTTTTAATATTCCAGTCTGACTAGATAATCTGATTTAGAATTCCAAACACGCGCTATCTCCTGGTGCCCATCGGAGCTTCATGACACAATTTGAAATTCAATGAATATCAATTTGTTTACGACAACTGGCAACCTGGCAAATGAAAGAGGTGTTATTTTGAATGCCAACAGAGGTTGTCAGATCTACACTATGGCTTTCATTGCCATGATTAGCTAAGCATTCGCCAACCCAGCTAGATGTGAACATTTGCAAGTTATGACCGTCAGCGCATCGTCCATTTTGCCAGGCTGCCACTTGGTCGTATGCAAATTGGATATCGAATTTCATAACAAACATATCGGGTGATCAGCACTGAGAAGCTTGCAAAAAAAAATCTGCCAATGCTCCTCGTAATTTCCCATAATTCACAGTGGAGCCCCATATTTTCCAGCAATGCACAGCACTTCGTGTCAATTCCTCATGAATATTGCTGTGTGTAGAGCAAATTCGCCCAGTGAATGTACGAGGTTTGTCCGTAAAATACGTATCAAAGTGGAATAATAACTTTATTTTACAATTTTATTGTTCAGGTATGGTCAATATGGTTTCCTTCAAAGTACTCCCCCCTGAGACAAGATGCACTTCTGCCAACGCCGTTTCACTCTTGATACGATCGCTGAAAGTCTTCATTGTGAGGTTCTTCATTTGCAGTGTCGTTTCTGCTTTGAGGGATTCCACATGCCCCGAAGCACCATTTTGCATTTTGGGAACAGGAAGAAGTCGCAAGAGGCTAAATGAATTTGTCACGATAAATTGAGCTTCGGGCCAAAAACTCTCGCACAACGAGAGACGTGTGAGCAGGCGCGCTGTCGTGATGAAGGATCCACCTGCCTCCTTGTGCAAATCCAGTCGGACTTGGGCTACACGAGCTCTGACCAGACGCAAAACTTCAATGTAGAAATTTCCGATCACTGTTTGGCCGGGAGGGAGAAATTCCTGGTGAACAGTCCTCCGAGAATCAAAGAAAACAATCAACATTGTTTTCTCATTGGACCGTGATTTTTTTGTTTTCGGTTCCCCTGCTTGCTTCCACTCCATGCGTTGAGATTTCCGCTCCACATCGAATTCGTAGAACCAAGACTCGTCTCCAGCGATGACCCGGTTGAGAAAGTCCCCAATTTCCTCTGCTTCCAACCAATCCTCACAGCAAGCAACCCTCCTTGCTTTTTGTTCTGGAGTCAACAGCTACGGAACTATTTCATTTTCATTTCAAGTTTTTCCGTCTGAATTTCGTGGACGATTGTTTCGGGGATTGACCGCTCCTCAGCTATCATTCTTACTGTCAATCGACGGTCTTTAAGAGCACAGCACCGAATTCGTTCAACATTTCGATGTGGAGGGCGTCCTGAGCGTTCGTCATCTTTCACATCTTCTCGGCCTTCCCGAAACCTTTTCAACCACTTGTTAAGGGTTGGTTCCTTCAGAGAATTGTCTGCGTAAACTTGTTCCAAACATTAAAAAATCTCACGACAATTCTGGCCTAGGTTTGCAAGAAACTTGATGTTGATGCGCTGTTCCTCGATCTGCTGACGCCAGTTAAAAAAAGGGTCACAAGCACACTACTGACACGCAGAGCGCTCCGGCTCGAACTGAACATAGAGGGGATTGCATAGAGGGAGGGAACCACCGGGCTACCCTACCCCTTCACGACGCCTTGACACGACGCCCCGAATTTTTTGTACGTATTTTGCGGACAAACCTCGTAGATACAAACCAATGAGCATATGAGATAAAAAATGTATTTCTTAGATATATCTCGGAATGGGTAATCAAACCTGTATGTATTAAAATGGTGCATTATTCTTAAAACAATATTTCTGTTTGCTCTTGACACTGTTAGCTTAAGCATCTTATCTTATGTAAATTATATTTAGTATCTTTTTTTACCGCGAGCATTACAGAATTTAAGCGATAGTGCGTAATCACACCATTCCGATCATAATTATGTGAAATATTGTGGTAATACGAATCGTAACTTTTCATGTTATTCAAAACACTACAAGTGAAACTTTGATAGTTTTCAGCTTGATTTCGCACTCGTATCCCTACCGTGAGTTGCAGAATGAATCCATATAGTTGAGCAACTATGTGTTTGTGCCTGAGAATTTAATATCTCACTAAATACAGTAATTCAATGCGTATTGATATGATGGATTGATACTTAAAAAACAATTTCGTCCAGTCGAGTGAGTTTTGACTATCAGAATCTATGAAGTATTTACGAGGTCTTTAAATTAAGTGATGAGACTGATTTTTTTTATTTAAATTAAAGTACAATTTTATATTGTCACCTTCGAAATAATTTTTTTCTGAAGCCACACAGCGCTGGAGACGGTTCTTCCACTGCTCGTAGCAGTGCTGGAACTGGAATAGCCCTCAGCTGGTCGGTTTGAATGTTTTCGACTGTCCCAAAATGAGTTCCCTTGACGAGATTTTTCAACTTTGGGAAGAGAAAAAAGTCACAAAGACTCAAGCCAGACGAATGAGGAGGCTGAGGACTCACATAATGTTTTTACTAGCCAAAAACTCGTCTATTGACATTGCTGTGTGGCAAGGAGCATTATGGTTGTTCTTGATCTGATGAACGGTATTGCGAGTCAAACTAAACTATTCCGGATCATTCCGACTGTCAACTGCGATATAAATGAACAAGATTCCGGAGTCTGTTGATATTTTCATCGGTTCTTGAAGATGAAGGCCTGTCTCTATCTAAAAATGCCTTAAGTCACCAAAAAGTGTGGTCTATTGACAAAATGCTATCTCCGTAGCCCTTCTGAAGTTGAGCAAGAGTTTCTGTTGCACTAAGTTCCAAGTCTTAAGCAAGACCTCATAACACACCTTTGCTCGAAATTGATGTCATTCATTTTTAGAACAGAATATAAAAAAAATCGCTACGGACAACCTAATGACTCGAGCGAGTTCAAACTTGTATTGAAGGCGGGATCACATCATTCGCTGTCTTCCCTACAAGCCCGGCGCCTCCAGTGTTGCCAGATGAAACGCTACATTGCCAGTCTCATCACTTAATTTACAGACCTCGTATATTTTTCCAAGAACTATCAAAACTTCAATTAACGTTACGAATAAAAATTTATCGAAATAGAAACTAAATGAAAAAAAAAAATAAATTCGCATTGTATCTCTTTTGTTACTTTGAAACCATCAAAATATCGATCACGTTATCGACATACTATTTTTCAGACTAGACGCAGTCCCCGCAATCCTTAAAAGCAGACTTCTAGTAAAATCAGGTTCCCTTCTTTAAAAGCGCACGCTCCTGGGTTCTAGGTTATGGATCAATCCGAAGTCTACACATTAGAGGCTACTAGTGCACCACTTTCACCTAAAGTCAAGCCAACCCATAGTAACAGAGAACCTACCACCACCCCGATACCCCTTCTTTCCTTAAAACTAAAACTCCCAAAACTCCTGTTCAGAACAACAAAGGGGTGAATTTCTTCAAAATAAGTCAAAGCGCTACGTGCTTGGAAACGCTGCACGAGAACTTTCACAATCAGAGTGTTGTGAATGAATTGGATAGCGTTTGTTTCGATCAGTCGTTTGACCCGAACGTCACCCCTTGTAAAAGAAAAAGGTTCGTGTCACCAGAGCGACCAGGTGACAAAAGAAAGAAGGATAAGAGCTTAGCGAACGGAAGCGAAAGTTTCTGACTTCTTCAAAACACCGATCAACTACTTTTCGAATCGCCGAAGAACTATCGATGCCACGACGTTCGATCAGAGTTGTGAGCGAGAGCGTCATATCAAGTTCTGGTGTTTTTAACGTAGACACAGTACAGAACCTGACCACGTGCCCAGACGGAACACCGCTAGGGGCCCAAAAGAGACCTAAGAAAAACCTGTTCACCAGGACATTCAGCTCGTCGAAGTTCAGTCGGAAATCGAGAAAGACTCTCGAATTGAACGCCACTCAATTGTCGTTTGGTGAACCGAGCGCGGTTGACGGCAAAGATAAGTTGAATGCCAGTTGTTTCCCTGACATTTCCCTGAATCCTGTTCCTACTAACAATCATAAGCTTAGCTGTGACATTGCCGGGGCGTCGAGGAGAACTTCTGTAGCTGCTGTTGCGGTACTAACTTCATTCATTCTGTTTACTTTTGTTTTTATTTTTGGTTTTGGTAAAAATTTCCTCTGAAGCAAAGTAAAAATTACAGCGTTAGTTGGCCGTTTTGCTGCCTACTCGCCTGTATTCGTAGATTTAATAGATACCGTTTAACGCCACTTCAACATTGCACACGCGGGGATTTTTTAACAATAGAAACATTTAAATGTACATTATTCGGCAGCTAGGAAATCTCACCTTTAAGCATTTTCTATTTTCTTAAGAATTCTGAGTCGAATGCCAATATGCGGCCATTAAATGTTGTCAGATATAGAAAAAGATCATCAAATTTATCCAGGGAAATAAAATTTTAACTAAATTTCAAGCTGGATTCAGGAAGAAAACACTCTACTGAAATGGCAATGTAAATGGTTTTAGAGGCCTGCAAGACTAATATATGGACAATAGGAAACATACAGTGACAGTGTTTCTGGTCTTCAAAAGGGCGTTTGAAACTATTGTCAGGGATAAATTACTTACAAAGTTGTATCGCTATGGATTCAAATTCTACAAATTGCTTATCAGAAGCCAAAAAACAAAATTGGATATACAGTAATGGACAAAAGTATATAGACAAATATATGAATATTTACCTAAATACATTTAGAAAACAATTCATACTTCATTGCTCCATAAACAAATGCGTTATTAGTAGAAAAACTAATTCCTTGTTTTTACATTATCTGCAATGAACACAATACAAGTCTGAATATAAGCACTTTTTTATGAGGGACAAAAATATGCAGACAAATTCTTTTCAGCATTAGCTTAGTACAGTTTCGTGTCAGAAGAGGATAAGTTTGTGTTCATCAAGTATTGTGGAATAAGTTCAGTGATTTTAGAACATTCCGCGTGGTCCAGAAATTTCTTTCAATGTGAAACTAAGATCATTGAGTTATTCAAAGATGGTCAACGTCAAGTCAACATGGCCAAAAATTTGAAGCTGAAGCGTAAAGCAGTTTGGGCATATTGAACAAATACAAACAAAAAGGTATCTTGGAAGCCTTTAAGAGAATGATCGGCCTAGAAAACTAAATGCTAGATCAGTTAGATATAAAAGAAATTTTCGTCCAAAGAGCTTTTAAGACAAATAAAGCCGAAATCGAGACAAAAGGAATTGTCAGTGTTTCTACGAAAACTATAAGTAGAAGATTAAATGATTTGAAGTTATTTGCACGTCGCCCGACTAAGAAGCGGCTAATCTCGAGGAAAAACCATAAGGACCGATTACAATTTGCACGGTTGCATCTTGATTGGAGCATCTGTGACTGGAAGAGGGTATGTTTCAGTGACGAATCCAAGTTCAATATGTTTGGATCAGATGGTGTTCATTACGTTAGACGTCCTAGTGGACAAAGATTGAACCCCAAGTACACTTTGCCCACTGTCAAACATGGAGGCGAGTCTGTTATGGTTTGGGGGTGCTTTTCGGGGTTTGGGATGGGACCTTTACATAGAATACATGGCACTATGGATAAGTTTGTATACACAGACATACTAAAGCATGTCATGTTACCCTAGATGGAACACAATATAAATTATTCAAACAAGGATGAACTTTTGCCGCTTTAGAGCAAAAGTGGAGACAGATTGATGAATCTTATATCAAGAAACTGTCTATGCCGAGACGATGCCAGGCGGTGATTGATAATAACGGTTATGCTACAACATACTATCACAACATTGTTGGTTTTCTATAATTCAATGAACTTTGCTTCTTTTTTCTATAATTGTTTTGCTTTGTCTATATATTTTTGTCGTTCATAGTTCCATTTTTTTTTTCAATTAATTTATTATTGAAAGGAGTCTAATGAATTTATTTATGTATAAGTGAGTATTATGCTATAACGAATTATGTATACAGGTTGATGTATTAATAAAACAAGTTAAAAAAAGAAATACAGCACAATATTAATTTGTCTATATACTTTTGTCCATTACTGTACATTATCAAGGTCAAAAAATATTTCTGTTGGTGTACCACAAGATAGTAAACCAGGCCCACTGCAATTTATTTTATACATTAATGATATTTGTAGTATTTTAGATTATTGTGAAATTCAGATATTTGCAGATGATACATTAATATACGTATCGTATGAAAATATAGACACTCCTTTAAAAATGCTAAATTCTGACTTGGCAATAAGCATACATTGGTTGAATGAAAATAAACTAAGATTGAATGCTTCTAAAAACAAAATGTAGACTAATAGGGTAATTCCTAAATGAAAATACTATCTCAGTTAGGATAAATGGTGAAATAATTGAAAATGTTGAGTCAATTAAATATTTAGGCATATATATTGATAGTAAACTAAAGTTTGTGATCACTATGAGTACATTATTTCAAAAATTGCAAAAAAAACAAATTACATTTAGTATATTGTTCACGACCAATGAAGCTGTATTCTCAAAATCACAGGTTCTGCAAAATAAAGCTACGAGAATAATATTGAAAAAAAGTACATCCAAATAAAATCTATGTTACAAGAAGTGCAGAATATACAAAATTTCATATCAAGCTTGGTTCTTATTTTTATATTTAAAATGAAAAATCATCTTTTGGAACAACATTTAGAACAGTACGTATAATTGAATAATCATTACCACAATTATTATACTAGAGGAAATATAGATTTTCATTTACAGAATTACAATAGTAATATATAACCAGCAAATCTATATTTCAGAAACGACTACTTGAATTTAATAACCTGAATAATGAGCTAAAGTCTACTTGTGATTTAATGATTTTTAAAAAAAATTGAAGGAATATTTCATGGTCAGTGAAAATTCTTAGAGATATAGATTTCGTTTTTCTAAATATCTGTATGTTATGTAATTGTGGTAGTTTTTTCAAGAACGTCATTGTAGCAATCATGCTAAATAAATCTTATTTAAAACAAAAAACAAAAAGTAATTTGTTTATTTGTTGAAGATTTATCAAGCATTAATGCTACAATGCTAATTTTGTATAAAGATTCGGTTACATATTTTTCTTCAATCCATTTTCTGTAATTTTACATTCTTATCGATTGAAATTAAAATTACGTCACTATGTATTTTGATTATTCATAAAGTGATTTTTTTAATTTTACCTTAAACATTTTTAAATTCGAACTCTGTTTAATATCATTATTCAATTTATTAGATTCAAATACTCCTTTTTAAAAATATAGATTTACTAGTTATGCTACTATTACAATTTTTCAAATGAAAATCTATAATGCCTCTAGTTTCATAGTTATGATAATAACTATTTAATTTGTGAAGTTCTCCAAATGTGGTGGTAATAAATGATTTTTTAATTGAATATGAAAACGAGAACTAAATAATATATGAAATTTTTCACGTCCAACCACTGCAGTTCTTCTAACACAGACTTAGCATATTTGTTTTTATTTAAAATGATTATCATGGCTTTATTTTGTAGAATTTGTAATTTTGAAAATATGTTTTCATTTGCTGTAAACAAGATGGTTGAACAATAAAAAATGGGGAAGAATTATAGTGTTATACACAATTTTTTTGGAATAGACACTAAGATTATGGGAAACTATATAGAGTAATTTATCTTTTTTGAAATTATGTATTGATAATGTTCGTGAAACAGTAGCTTACTATCCACATATATAAGATATTTAAATGACTTGATACTTCAATTTTTTCATCATTAATCATGATCCTGATTGTATCGTCACCTAAAGGATTCCACCATGTACTAAACAATGATTCAACAGTAATAATAATTTCTCTCCAATTATATTAAAACAATCATTTAGAATATGAGAGATTCTCACTTGGATTTTTATTAGATTTCAATTTTGAGATAGCTTTTCTTAGATTGTGAATTGTCCTAAATTGCTTCTTTGATGAATACTTGTAATGGACATAAGTTTGGATCACCGTCATCAATCGTCTTCACTATTTGATTTGCACTTTCTATAAAATAAGTGTTCATTCTTTCTGCTATGATTAATTTGTCTGTCACTACCAAATCTCGAAACGCATTTTAATATGCGATAACGCGCAACAAAAAGTTCTATCTCCAAATGCATACTTTTGACGATGATATATTTTGACAACTGATAACACAACCTATGCAAAATGACTGGTAAGAATAGAAATAATAAAATAAATTGGCATCTTCTTGAATGTGAAGTAACCAAAAATGTAAATATTTGCCTATCTTACATCCGTTACTGTTACTCTATTGAAAATTGGATTTAGTACAACATATATCAAAAGTTATAGAACCCGCAATAAGAAATACATTTAAATTTCGGGACCTAGAAGCGTCATGATGCTTTAGTTGTTTTGGGCAAACTTAAAAAATCCAAATCCTCAAAACTATAATTTGAAACAATAAGACTATTGAGAAACGTACACAAATATAGTTTCCGATATATTTTCGATTATCGGTCCTAAGCTTTCTCATATGATCAAAAATGCTCGGGAACTTCTAAAACATAAGAAATGCGTGTGTACTAGCAATGTTTTATCTAAATTACTAATGTCAGAACCAAAGAACTGTCTCTTGTCTTATTATGGGACAAAAAATTATTACTAGAAAAATAGACAGTAGATCGTCTGCTGGAGTTAGCCATACACTCTTTAAATACAGAGGAAATTCTTACTATTTCAATTACTTAGCTTATCTTTTTTTTTTAGCAACATGCAAAACTCGATGCAGTTAAATAACATATAAGTAGTACAATATTATTTAAGTTTTGCATGTTTCTATGTTTTTATTTCATTAGCTCTTCAAGTTGCCTGCATAAAATAAAACATAATAGAGAGGGCTTGAAAAACATGTGTTTTAAACGTGCTAATTTCTCCCTTATTTAGGTCGTGGATGAATCTACTGTAGCTGACAGGCTAGAAGGACCTGCTAAAGCATGGGTGGTCAAAGCTGAATGGTTCTGGACGTCAGTACAGAAGGAAATTAGCTTGGGAGAAAAGGAATATTTATTTGATGACGTAAGTAACTTTTAGTGGCTTGAGGAGGGTTAGGTGCAACGTTGTAGCGTTTACGCATATGCTTTGCCTATGTTTCGATGTAGACAATGCCTGGACATATGTTACAGTTAGTCAGTTTTTTAGTTATAACGGGTTTTCTCTAGTTGAAACTAGTTTCTACTATGAGTCTATTAGGTTGTACCAGCCTATGAGGACAAACCAATTTTTGTTCAAATTGAGATACGCATATCCTCTATTTTTCCCATTTGACTGATAACTCAAAAAATGAATATTATTGCTATCGTGGACGATAACCCTTTCGGTAACACTTTGATTTTAAAAGTTAATAGGGAAACAATGTATGGATTTCAAAACCTAATTCTTATTCGACAAATAAAACACTGCTTTATTTGTATCATATATTTCTTAGATATTTACCATTGAAAGAACATTATTTACTAAATTCTCTTTTCAAAGTTTTCTTTTTACAGTCGGGATATACGAGCCCCTTCCCACTTCAGTTGGCCCACCTCAAGATTTGTACCAAAATATGCCTTTATAAACTAAACATGACGAAACTATTTACTTCTAAAACAATTTATTTCCTCAAAAACATTTTCGATACACTCTAGTCGTAAAAAATACATATTTGAAATCACTTAGACCTATAACTAATAGAACATCTGAAAAAATAAACAATGGGCGAATAAATGCGCGAAGTTAACAAAGCAACAATTGAAAGATTACCATTGGGTAACATCACCTTTATTTTTTATTACGGCTGAAATTCTTTGGGGCATAGTGTTAACCAAGTTTGGCAAAAATTTGGTGTAAAACAATCCCATATATCTTGAAGCTTTTGTCTCAGTTCGGTGATTGTACGAGCAGGATGTTGTCGTAGAACCTTTTTCATCTCGTGCCACAAAATTTCAATAGGTGACAGATCTGGACTGCTAGAAACCCATTTCAAAAGTGGTACATTATTTTCTTCCATCCATTTTATAGTCTTTTTTGAGTATGGCACGCTGCACCATCTTGCTGAAACACAAAATCTTGGCCGGATGTCAAACATTCTTCCATCACTGGTAAAAGCGATTCTTCTAAAATTGCCAAATATTTGTTTGTATCCACATTTCCATCAATAAAATGAAGTTTTCCTACTCCTTTTGATGATATACTGCCCCAGACCATAATGGATGCTGGAAATTTCACTTTTCTCTTCAGACAGTCAACATGGAATGCTTCATTTTTTTGAATAACTCTACTGCGCCTGTCAACACAAACTTCGAATCGGGCCTCATCACTTCATTGTATTGCAGACCATTGTTGAGGAGTCCATTGTCTATGTTCTTTACCATCTAAGCCGATTTTTCTTTTGCAGTGGAGTTAATAGTGCTTTTCTTTGGCCTATAAACAAGTTGTGCAACTTTAGGGTTTTTACTTCACTTTTTTTATAAGAAAACTTACCTTGCAAGTGCTAAATCCCAGTTTGTGGGCCTCTCTATGAGTTGTGGACCTCGAAATTCTCCTTCCAACAGCGTCACTCCACAGAGCACTTAATTGTAAATAATGGCACGCCTGTTTTTCACGATTATTCTTCTTAATGCTCTTCGGTCGGCATTTGTGATATTACTTTTTTTCACATATCGTGGCTTAATATTAACTGAACCAGTTACGTTTATATTCTAACAATATTTCTCACACGTACCGCGATAAGTCTAAAAAGTTGCAATTTCTGAGTTTGATTTCCCGAATTAAAAAATTTAATTATCAGTAACCGAATTTTCTCACTAATAACCTTTCCTCTACCCATTTTGAAAACCTTAACTCCAAAACTATTTTAAACGTATTCTGACAGCTGTGATTAATAAAAACAATTGTCAGGCTTTTTTTTTCACAGCCACCTATGCGTTATAGACTTATTTTGCATTGAAATGAAAATAGGTTGATATGCTGTAATTGCACATGTGTTATTTTTATGCTGCAAATTTGATTAGGGAGTGATAAAGTTAGTGTTTTCTACTACATATTATTAAAATATTCATTGTTATTTTAAACCTATAACACCCTGCTACATTTGTATTATTTGTGTTTGATAAAAAAAACTAAGATTTCAATAGTAGGGCCAACTGAAGTGGGAAGGGGCTCGAATATGGTGTCATTGAACTGATTAAAAAACAATATTTTTTGTCTTCGCTAAAATTCAACGGACATGTTCTCAAAATCTACAAAGCTTTTTCGTTCTGTAAAGATCATGAAAGGTCAAGATAGTGAGTTGATAACTCCAAGGATTTGGGCGTATTATTCGATTCAAAGCTTTCATTTGTTGACCACATTATAACAATAATAGCTAAGCACATGAAAATCTTATTTTTGTTATCAGAAACAGTAGACACTTCAATAACACTAGCACATTAATTTTACATTTTAATGCATTTGTCATATCTATTTTAGAATATTGTTCTATTATCTCACACCCGGCCTATGATATACATTGTAAGAAATAACATTCAGAGAATGTGAAGTGAAGTACCTATGGTTCAAGGATGATCGATTGCACCCTGAAAGACGCATGCAATGATATACTTCTGAGTTTAAGATAATCTATCTAGTTCAGTGAAACGTAGAAATCTCTCTCTCCCTCTCTCTAAATTTTTATGTAATTTGTTAAATGGGACTATTGATTGTGGTTTTCTTTTACATAGGATCTCCCTAAGTGTTTCCGATTTAAGTACTCGTCATGATAGTAACATTTCATTTTATTTACCTGTTTCGCGAACAAATTTATTGTTATTTTCGCCACTTTATGTTATGTGTAATATTTGTGAGGGTGTAAGTGAACTTGATGTTTTCAGTTCCACCAAAAACAATCTTGGGGTTTTCTAACTGTTGCATGAGTTATATTTTTGTCTGTTTCCTATCACGTACCATCTACAGTTTACAGACAGTGTATGGGTTCTAAATAAATAAATAAATCCGATCCAATCTCGAATTCTATAATACTTTCACTTTTATTGAAAAAAGGAGGCTCCAATATGTTTTATTCAATGTTAATTATTTCTTTGAAATCCACATGGAGAAATGAATGACATCAACTTTTGTGATGTCAGTATCAAACGTAAATCTATCATTCTAGCTTTACAATTTTCGTGCTTAATAAAGAAAACGTTGGAAGTATTACCGGTAGCCTGCATTTTGCAGCTGTTCTACAATTCTCTTCCTTCTATCGTCAGGAGGTGTTGCAGTCAGCGTAATCATTGCTCTGATTATTTCTGAGTTCTCTTGTGTTGATCTCCTAGCAGACTGTCCCCTTTTCAACGAACATAATTCAATAGGGATCAAGATCGGGTGTTCTCTCTGTTTGCTGCCCACCTATAGAAAAAAATATATTTTAGGAAAATCAATGTGAATGTTTTGTTGTGAAATATAGTTTTTTTCCGGCAGCGGTACTACGTATCTTGAAAAGTGATATTACATCGTTTTGTCAATGTTACAGAGATACCGGGAAGATCCCCGTTTTTTAGAGAAAATTTGTGGACTGATGAGTCGTCGTTTAAAAATCTGAATCTACACAACTTACACCAGTGGTATGCATAAAATCCACATTTGATGAGACAAGATAGATCACAGTATCGTTTCACAGTAAACATGTGGACAGTGCTTCTAAATCTGTGAATCATTTTACCCTTTGAGCTGCCAAACTTCTGAATGGCAAGATTTATTTAGACCTTTCACAAAATCATTTACCAAATTTATTGGTAGACGTGCCGCCACTAAGCATTTATAGAGACTCGTAGTACCAGCAAGACGGCTGCCGGGTGCACTATGCCCGTTTAGTTAGAGATTATCTTGTTGCGGAAGTCCCGAGCAGATGAATAGGGTGCTCTGGTACAATTTCGTGGCCAGCCCGTTCAAAGAAAAAGTGTACTCAAAGCCAATCGAAAATTTAGCTGAGCTACGGAACAGAATGACGGAAGCAGCTGAATTTGTTGATAATTGGAGATTGGCCCGTCTGATAACCCGTACATTTTTAAGATATCAAGCTTGCATTGCTGCTGAAGGAAGGCAGTTTGAACATTTATTGTGAATTTAAAATAAAGATATTAATTTGATTATATGCCTCTAACCCTGTTTAACCTGTTAAAACAACATAAGTCGATAACAGTTTTGGTAAACTGGAGTTTTCGAAATTTCTATCTTTTGGAACGCAAATACTAGATTTAGATCAAAACAGTACTTGAATCTGATTTATTTGTCATGAGCACAGTTTTTATTCAAATTATGGGGCCAGGTTTTGCGCTGATCGATTCTATTATTGCGGAGCGGAGAAATATACAGCAAATTCTCATGGATGACGCTACGGCACCTCATTTCATCTCGGATATTCTTGTGGACATGAGAATGCAGTATTAGGTACATTTACGTAGAATACGTTAATCCATGATTCAACCTAACTTAACCAAACTTAGTAACATCCTTAGGTCAAGTTAGATTGAGTTGCGTTAGGTTAAGTGACTTTATAAACCAGACATTAAAAAATACT